TTAACAATTAATGGAGAATGATGCAATTTGAATAACTTACAGAAGGGACATAATATTTTGATAGGAGGCCTGTGACAAGACATTGATTACCCTGAAGTTAATATTCAGTTGAAGTGCATTCATTCACTGCACCAACAGCAAGTGGACATCGTGCCAGACAGGAATATTACAATGACAAATCCTTGCATTACTACCAAACATCAGGGGGCTCACCAATCTCACTTTAAATCATGGAAAGCACAAAAGGGATCTCTCTCATCTCTGCTTGCCTTTATCAGCAGGTGAAGGAAAAGATCCAGACCGTTCCAAAGCATATGCATTTATCAGGTCCTGCCAGATCACAGAAGATGAAAGGGAAAAACGCACTAACCACTCTGTGACAGAAGGTGATAAAATCTTGGGACATTGACCTTGGCTTCAGCATTGACGGGGTCAAAGATATATTAGCCTCATTTAGGCCTTTAAGGTTTGAATTAGATATTGGATATACAAATGTAGCAAGCGTTGAGCTAGCTGACAATCTGTGATCGTCCTCGTGATTCTGCAGGCTTCCTATGCCACCCAAAATGCAAGTAACAAGCTACACAATTTCAAGCAAGTGTAGCCCACTCCCTCCACCAGAGGAAACTTAACAACTGTGACCGAAGCAAACCCCTCCTGCTGGGGACTGACATGCCCTTCTCATTCTTCCAGTGCCACCCACACACTAGGCGCTGAACAGGAGCCTCACACCGGCCAAACCGTAACACATGAAGATATATGTACTGTATGCTCCGACTGCATAAATACAGTCACAGTTCATAGGCTCATGTGTACTGGAGATACATAAGGAACGATTAGCAGAATTAAACCTCTAAGAATTAAAGATACTTAAAGAGTCTGAATCCCTCTAGGTCAGAGAGTCAGTTTCTCAGCATAAAAAAGTCCAGGACTGTGTATTGAGGTATCTCACAGCTTTGTGACGCTAATGCAGTGAATTGGGGATTTTGTGTTATGGTGCTTTGCCTCGCAGGGGTAAGGCAGGGTGTCAACCACATCCTGTTTGGGCTGTATTGCCATGAACAAAAGGTGCTGTAGAGCACATCCTAGTAGACAAACAGGTTCAGCCTCACTCAACAACAAAACAACCCACAAGCACTCATCTTTGCACTTCTTTCAGAGGACAGATGAATTTTGGCACACACTGTGAGGTGAAAGAGAAAGGTCCCACAGAAAGACTCAGTGCTGATGCTGACACGTTGACAGAGCAAGCCGGAAGGAGTGCTGTCTTATGTTGAAATGTACGCTCCTTTCTGATGAAGATTAATGCTCACTCAAGGCAGCTCCTCTGCTTCCAGCCTGACTTTCATTGGACTGATTGACCTAGAAAATTGACTATTGTTAGGGGAGTCAGGCGTTTTTTAGCATGAGAAAGGGAGGGAGCAGGCTTTGAAAGGCGTAACTGAACTGGGGGCCGTTTTCCCATGATGATCAATTTAAGTAAGATCCGTTTTCAATGCTGACATACTTTAAGTGAACAGAAATTGTTCCTCTTTACTTAGGCATCTCATGTGAGCCACATTTCACAGATAAGAACCCTGGATATATCACCTCTGGTTATGAGAATCTCAGTCTGATGCAATTAAGTGTCTGCAAACCATAAGTCAATAAAACATTTTTTTATGTGGAAGATGTTTTTCCATTAAAGATGTTTTCAATATGTTGGATACCAGCTAACGGGATCATCAAGTTCATTGGCTCACCCCATTTTCCTGCGAAAAATTGCTGAAAAGAAGCTAAAGGCTTACTTCCTGTTTACGCTGGGAGCTTGGATAATTTGAAATCAATGCCAGTTTTTGATTCTGTTCACGAAGCACTCTTTGGAGAAAAAAGTTTGTGCTCTTTCTGCCCTTCATAATCCAAATGTTCAACCAGAAGCAATGAATAAACTCCGCATTGCTTATATTATTGGCAACATTGACCATATATGTTTCATCTTTTTTTTTTTTCAAGGGAAAGTATGACAGAGAGGTACAATAGCTCACACAAAGGTTTGAATTCCTCGTCTTCTGGAGTCTCCATGCTGAGCGAGGGCAGGACTTTGAAACGGCATGCTAATGACTCCTTGGCACTTCCAAGTGCCCCCTCTGTCCACCATAGCAAGAGGGCAGCAGAGTTTAATTACAATGACAATGGGGTTGCTGGCAGAAGGGCCAGCCTTAGACAGGGTGTACTAGATGGGCGAGATCACCACTGCAGTCCCAGATTAAATTGGGAAGCTTTGATTTCCTCCAGGGCTGACAGATGGAAGAGGTCAGGCCCCCCTTTGTTGGAGTCATTAACTAATCTTTCCGAGTCCATTGTCTGTGGAAGGACCCCAAGAGGAGCCCCCACAAACCCCACAGAGCCAGATCGCAGAGCTCGAACCCCCGCTACATTCTCTTCCCCCCTTTGACTTTCAGATTCACACTTTCCTGCTCATTTTCCAGAGGAGACTAATCAGGCACCCCCGAGTCAATCAGGCCCTGGACCATGCGAAACGTAGCCCAGTGAACAAATTGTTCAAACGAGCATGGGGCAATTGTGATCTTGACAGAGTGCCTCGGTAAACACTTTAGTCTATTATTCGGCTGAGTGGCGCTAATAAAGTTCTAGCAGCCAAAGTCGCTCTGTTGTTTTTGTTTTGACCCTTGAAGTAAACTTGAAAAAGCTGTGTCTAGTCACTAGTGAAGCAGTACAAACAAACACAAGGAGTTAATGTGTGTATTTACATAACATTACTGTACAGTACATAAATAAATTATATTAATTTGCCAAAAATGAAAATCCCTCCAAATCGAAAAAACAACAATTGCCTTCCTATATTACAGTCAATATAACCATTCTATCACTTTCTTAGACTGACTTTTAAATAAAAAATAGGAATACCTTCTCACAGAAGAATAACTTCCATCTTAAGTTACAGCTGATAAATGTCATGCTTTTTTAAGCCGAAAACACTCACAGACATTTTAACAGCCTGACTGTGCAGACAGCAGCTGTGTGTGAGCTTGTGATTGGCCACATATTCCCCCCAAGCTTCAAACAGGCACTATGATCAGCTGCAGCAAGGTGCTACCCGCCTCTGTTACAGAAAGGAAATGTTGCAGGTGCTGTAAACAGAGCAAACGAGAGCAAAAGGCTTCCTCCTCTCTAGCCAAATGTGCATCCCAGTCTACTTAACAATCTCAATTAATAATATTTGTTTTTTATTTGTATTTTTTGTATTTATTGGCATGAGGCAGAAAAAAAACACATTATTTAATCGCCCAATATACTGCTTACATTTTCAAGATGTCTATAATAAGATGTCATTTTCAAGATGTCTATATAATCTTCAAATGTAAATATGTTAGTAAACTATAATAAATATATTTTCTAACAACTTAAACAAATGAGTGATGACAAAGCAACGCACCTCTGTAGCAGAATATTCTGTTTCCTACTTCAGCATAACCTCAGTCTGAGTCCATTTTCTGTACACGATGAACCCAAAGATGTATTTAATCTCATTGGGTAGATTTCACTGTCCATAACCATTCAAATGAGCATTTCATTGCACTCTCCACAAGAATCAAAGACTGAGAAGTGACGGAAAGAATATGTTGTTACTGTACGGTTGATGAAACATCTTTTTGTGACCTTTCAAAAGTAATGAGGTGTAGCTTGAAAACAAGGACTCCTTGGCAGACTCTCCCATTTCAGCATTGAACACTGTTTGTTTAGGCGTGTGTGGACAAAATATTTCTGTGTAAGAGGTGCAGTGATGAATTTTGCATAGTGGACAGCTTTCATAGGCAAGCAGTATGTTCCAAGAACATTTTTTTTTACCTTTGGGACATGATTTATAATGTGGCTACAATAAGACTAGGTGAGTAGCTCTCATATTGAGACTCTCCCTTCTTTCCAGTAAACACAGACTCAGATGAAATCACAGACACATGCTATTTGTCATCACCCTGACAATGTACATACCTCTGCCGTTCTATCACTTACTCCTCTCATCTCTCCTTTTTCTACTCAATGATGACATCATCAAGTTTTTTTCTCCTTGACTCCGTACCAGGAGAGACACTGGGCCCTGCTTTCCTGCCTTGTAACCAGGCTCAGACAGTGTGTGTTGACATGGGTCCAAATCTAAATATTGGGAGGGCAGGACACCACATGCTCTGATGTCATCCCGACTCCAAACAGCCATAGTCCTGCAGCACGGCTTACTGATGCCAGGACAACCAGCCGAGCATCATCAACACCCGGGACAGGGTGAGAGGACACTCTGGGCCCAGCTTTCAGGATGAGATGCTGTCACAATGGAAGAAATCCAGTCACCAGGGAAACCAATGGCAATGTAGCTATTTTGGAAAAGCAAACGTTCCTGCAACCTCCATATATATACCCATATATACCAACAGAGAGAAACAGGCCAGTTCGTTTTCAACTCATTGACCCTTTGAAAATTCACCATCAAATGTGTACTATAACACATTGTCGATTTAGTGGAAATTTGATAACAAAACAGGTACTTAAACTCATAGGAATAAATATAATAAAACTATAAGGTACTATTAAATCTGTATTAATAACAACAATGTTAATTCCACCCACTGGTCTTTAATTCATTTGTGAATGTCATAATAGCGTTTAAATGTAGGTATTGTGAGTGTGTAACCCAGTTCAGCATTCAAGGCACATAAACCTTATTAGCTGGGAAGTATTCAAAAAGATATAATGGAGGGGGATGACTGCAATCTGATTCGCAAACCCTTAATGCTCAATAAACCATTATGGCTAAAAGTCTCTTAATTAGCTTCCACTTATATCAGATTTCCATTCTCTACAAGTTAATTATGTGCTTGATTACCACTAGTTACTTGGTAGACTGTATGTGTGGAGATTTCCCTCAATGTATATGGCTCAGTTTCATCAGAAGTAACTGAATGTTACTCTCAGCACATGTAGCACACGCTCTCCTGTTACGTTACCTTTGAGCACTGTTTATGGTTCTGACACCACACCAGAGATCCATTTCCCTAGAACACAGAACAAAGAACACCACATCAACACCTCATTTTCACACTGTGGTGTTTCACCATGCATATTGTTTAAATAATCAAATACTTTCAACAGTACAACAAAATCAACATGGAAAAACCATCCAATATATTTTAGAATGATTGTCAGCCCCTAGTCCAAAGTGAAATTAATGCCCCACTTTTGTAGACACTTTAAACAATGAGATATAATTTCCGAGGTCTTACAGTGCGGTCAATGAGGCAAACTGAGAAGCCATTTCCCCAGCCAGCCTTGTTTAGCAGAAGACTGTGACCTCAGCTCCTGCTCTCTCATTTTGTCCACTGACATTTAGCAAAGGTAACCCAAACAGCAACTTCAGCCAATCCTCCCTCTGAGACAGGGAGCACTACTCAGACTAATGTGTAGGGAAGGGCCAAACTGCTGGGTGCTGGGACTCAGACCTCAGTGTTAAGTGTGTCTGAGCAAAGAAGCAGTTTCTTGTCTTTCAGTATAAGAAGTTTCTCAGAACTTTATGGAAGGAGTGGTTCTCTTATGTCTACATTGCTACATTTTTGTGTAAAAACCTTTTCAGCTGTTTCAAACGGAAACAATCTCCATTGTGCATTGACACAGTGACCAGTAAATTAATTTTTTGTACACAAATATGTAGCAGTCATACTGAGTAATACACTGTTTAGCTGCATACATGTCAGCAACAGGGAAAATGCCACTGAAACCAGCTCCTCTATATTTGCCATGGTGAAGTACTGTTTACTTCCATGTAGGGTGATCAGGTGGCCAATCAGACAATAAGACATTGTAACTAGTGCGATCGAATCAGGAAAGGGCCATGTGATGAGTAGGGTCCAATCAGGGCGTTTTCAGAGCCTGCATTTTCGTAAGTCTTCGTTTTCACTCATCCACACTGCAACGCTGTTTTCATAGGTACACAGTTCTGAGAGGGTTATGAAAAGTCTCTGCTTTGGGGGCTGAAAACTCTTCGGTAATGTGGACAAAAGGTGAAACTGAAGACAAATGCATGCATTTTTAAACTAAACCATAACAGTGTGGATGTCTGTAGGGAAATGCAATGCAGTTCACTCTGCTGACACCTGACAACTTACTTAAAGAAGAACTCATTTTAATATATTTAGTAAATGGCCAAATCACACCATACTGACTGATGTACAATGTTCAATAATGAAATATCACTAGATTTTCTTATATAATTGCAACACAGTGGTTAATGCAGTACGATGTGTGCTTTAATATGATAATCCTGGATGCTTGAAACATGGTTTAGGCTGTCACAATAATTCAAAATTGCAATGATTTCTCGGAGACCTTAAAACATTATAGTTGACAAGATGACAGTTGACAGTTGACTGTGCCTACGAGGTGTTACTCTGATATATTCCACTGGCGCTAACTGGATTGGTAGCAAGTACCACAACAGCTGAACAGAGACTTGTAACCTGCTGGATTAGGTCTTCTCTTGGGGGATTTTGCCCTAATTTACCTCAGCTAAACATTTTAGGTACTCCAAAGAATACCTAAAACAACATCACACTTTTAATACTGTGTTTTTTTCAAGCAAGAGGTCACTGCAAGCCCCATATACCTGCACTGTGCTGCAAGTTACAGACGGCAACAGGGAATTGAATAACTGGATGACTATAGCATTGCTGACTAGGAGTCTGTTTAAGTTCAATGTCAAGTTCAAAGCCGCTTCGCATAATGTAATCCACTGGAAATTCCCAGTGAGATTTTGGAAAGAAAAGGACTTAATTTGCAGTGTGGTACTAGTGAGCCTTCAAACACAGTGTCAAGGGTAGGGGCGTGTCCATCTTCAAAGAAAGCCGTAGTCAATGACAAATACTGGAATATCTGATGTAATTCATTCATAATTCACCATTTTCATATTCAAAAATAGGCTGTCACATTAATTTCACCATATATTTTTCATTTTGTTTCATGACATGCAATCGATTGCCTGGTTTTATAATACCAAAAACGATTTGCGCTCATATCAGATATTACTATGTATTATACTTTTAATGAATATTAAAACATGCTTAAAATTATTGCTTGAATAACTGTGATGAAAATGTATTAACACTGGTGAATTTCTTTACAATCTCAAAATAATCAATGACCATGTTTATTGAGTAAAGCTCATGGTTATACTAATCAGTTCACTGAACTCATTGGTATATAAATTGCCATGGATCTATACATATGTTCTGCTTAATAGTACCAATGCCGTTGACAGGGCCCTGGTGATATTCATAGTCTGACATCTAATTCTGATCAATGTCCCTGTCACTGTAACAAAGAGGATCAGGAGGTTGTTGTCCCAGCTGTCCCAGGATGACCCATCCATGTCACACAAAGTACGGATAATTATAGGGCAGATTGTGATCCCTTAAAACCCAGACCACATTCCAAGCCAATCTGTCACAATGCAGTGCTAGATACTCACTGTTCTTGTGTTAATCCACATTTTTTAGAAACGAAACATTCAGAAATTCAGTGTAACACATGCAAAAAACCACAGTTACAGACACAGGATTCAGTGCTTCAGTTCATTATGGATCCTGCACATAGAGATAAACTGGAAGGCTGGTATTGTTTCATTAAGTTCACACACTCTCATATGATATGATACAATCAAGATGAGCCACCTTCAAGTTGAGGGTACGTCCTGCATTTGGAAAATTATTTTGCTTGTGTGTGTGTGGGGGGGGGGGGGGGGGGGGGGGGGGGGGGGG